GCTCTCTTCTCTACCTCCACTTATCGTGATTTAACGCTGCATGTAGGTCAAGATCTTATATCTAACTTTGTACATAATTTTCATATGGGGATATTTCTCTTTAAGTATTACAGAGAACTTGTTACATTTTGGTTTTCAACTGAAGCCCTGTAATGATTAAATTCATATTTATCCCAAAATAATTTGCAAATTGCCCAGCGGTTTAACGACGCGCCGCACCGCCCGCTGCCCCGTCAGTCACCATTTGTCGACTTCGGATCTGTGTCCAATTTTTCTCATATTATCTATTAATTTTTAGTGCGCGGGTTGCAGGACGCGAGGTGCGATCCCCCACACCTGACGTTCTAAAATATATGCTCGCGTTGTATTGTAACTAGATATAAACTCTTAATATCAACCATCGTCTTTGTTCGTTATGAAATATGAAAAACTTACCGGCACTAACAACAGTAACCCGTCCAGCGCGAATGTGCGGAATTGGAGCGCCACAGCCAGCTCCTTGGTCTTGGAAGGCAGTCGCAGCATCGCGTGACTCCACGCCGCATCGCCAAACTTCACCGCGCCCGCTTCTACCGTGTACGAAGACGTCTGCGCAAGTTTGCCATCACATTCGCAATTATTATCGACTCGATATATTCGCGTGGCAGTAACTTTCTTGTGGAGCTACAAAATCTCGACCATCGCAGAAAAGTAGCCCGCTTGTCGGTTTTCTATCGTTATACATTTCGAGGAGTGTGCGAGTGTGTGACCTTTTCAATTTAGTTCCACTCTCACCGGTTCTCCTTCGGTCGACTAGGAGGTCCGGAACACTCCATCCTTTTGTCGTTGATATACCACCCATTCGCACTAAGTGCTTTGCTTTATCCTTTCTGATGCATACGGCAAAGGAATGGAATACTCTCTAAGGAATGGAATAATCTGTGTTTCCCGAAAAGTATAATTTTGGTCTATTCAAGGCTAGAAGTAAATTGGCATTTTTGAGGCGAACCATCGTCAGTCACATCGCCGTTTAAGATCAGGTGAGATTGTGGCCAAGCGTGTGTCTATTATTTATAACAAAAACAAGTTAATATAAAATAGAGAACAGTGCAACAGCCAAGCCAGCTCACCGCGGTGCAGCCGGCGTCGTCGCCCGGCTGTTCGTGCAGCGCCCTCGCTTCGCTTCGCGGCTCCGGACGCGGCTCCAAATCTGCACGGCCTAGACGAGCGCCCACCCAATTCAATGCGTTCTCCAGACCCACCAACCTGAAATAGAAATATTCCAAAAGTACTATACACTTGTAGCTGTGGTAACCCATAAGTCGACTCGGATTCTTGTGGCGGCAACCTTCATTTAATGTTATGTACGTTTGTGTATGTTCAGAAGCCATAACAGAAATAGGAAAACATCGTGAGGAAATCGAAGAGAGTTTACTATAGCACTTAGAAAACATGCCAAATCCCCAAGTCACATATGGTCAGCGTGGCAGATCATAGTCCAAACCCTGTCCATAAAGGCAATCTGTGCCCATCTACAATTCTTAAAAAAACTGCAGATATACTTTTATTGAAAGTAAAGTATACCCTCCGATAATAAATTATGGCAAGTTTACACTAGGTCGATAGGTCTTCTTTGCTCGCCCAAGGGCGGCAATCTATTCAGTGTATTTTTTTAAATATATATAATACCAATTGACAGGACGAACAAGTCGTGTTCCAGTTGGTAAGCGACACGCCTGTCCATAACGCTTGTAGTGCCACTTAGAGCATTAAATCGTAAAGATCTTAGGGGTACTGCCACTGCGCCCGGCATCCTGAGGCATAAGTTGACAAGTCCCATGTGCCTGTATGGCGGCAGAAATAGGCACTTGCCTGGATGAACTCTTTCACAAGGAGCTCTATGGCTACTAAAACTTGTCTATACACCGAATCGTTTGACAAATATAGTTCGTTGCCGAAGTCGACAGAGTCGACTAGGTGTCATCACTGTCCGGCGACACAGTCGCTTTCGGCAAGCGGCGGCCGACCACGCAAGTTTCAACGTATTGGCGGTCGTATTCCATCACGATGCGTGTACCTGATCTATTCTTGGAACAATTTCTTGTAAACTTATATTTATTGTCGCGAATAACGTCGCGATTTAATATTAGTTTTGTAATTACAGCATTAACAAATTTAATCTGTTGTGATAATTAGGAGTAGGGAACTAGCCCGGCAGTTCAGGCGTCATAAATTCTGAAGGTGAGATATCAGGCGTCTGCTGGGAGTGCACTGGTTGGTCGGCACTACAATTGATAAGTTTGTACAATGTTTAGTAGTAACTTAGATACATTACAAACTTGGATACGATACATTATGACGAAGCAGTAACAGATTTAGAATGAGACCCGCCACTTGCACTGAAGGCAGAAGGGGGTATGAAGCGGTGGCAGAGGAAGGGCTGTAGGGGTGTGTGTGTTTAGGCCCATCATAGGGATCAGAGGATCCCATTAGTTCAGATCCAGAGGATCGATATGAGGTCTATAAAGTAGAATGAAGTTGAGAAAAAGATACTTAAAGGCGGTTGTGATAGAAAAGAATGTCGCATACGTAATTTACATTATGATGAAACCTTTAGCGTGGCGACATTTATAATGATTTGGCGGATTCGCTTGCCGAGGACGCGGCAGTCAACGCTGCGTAAACGCGCCGTTAGCAGTCACGAGCTTACGAGGAGTCCACGACGAGGTCGGCCACGGTCCCCGCGAAGCCCTGCAGCGGCACGGCGGGCGCGGGGTGCGGCCAGTCGGCGCCGCCCACGAACAGCCCGCCGGCGCGCGCGGGCAGCGCGTTGCCCGCCAAAGAGCCCTGCGCGCGCCGCTGCCCGTCCACGTGCAGCTCCAGCTGGAAGCGACCCGTGTTTCAGCGCGGTTGCACGGTTAAACACCATCCCGGTCTTCAGTCCGTGATGGTTCCTAGGTACCTGCTTGTGAGCTCTAACGAGCCGCAGCGTGTGCAATCTGCCGTCGTCGAACCTCGTTCCGTTGGTGCGCAGACGCAGCTCACCCTTACCGGCCGCCGCTATCACTTCCAACTCGCCTGTAAAAGTCCAAATGGTAGTTTATTTCATTTCCTAAAAAGGGATTGTCAGTCAGCCAGCCCCGGCGTAGTTTCTGAATAAGTAATTCGTTTGTCTTTGTCGGCCGGCAAAAAAATATAAAACAAAACTTGCCGTCAATCATAACAATAGCTAAATAGTGTCGATCATCAGAGTCGTCGTCGTCATCAACCTCGTTGTCCCGTCGCTGCGAATTGGCGGCGGGCACGCGCAGCAGCAGCAGGCCGGAAGGGGCGCGCGCCGCAAACGAAAGGCCCAGCGCCGCCTTGCGACGCAGCAGGGGCGACGGCAGCTCGATGTAGCCTTGCCCTTCCAGGGTCGCCGAGCGGAGAGTCTGCGGCAGACGGCAGACGGGGCCGTGCAACGTAGGTCTCGACAAAGAATTGATATTGCGTTCATTATTAGGTCTCGCCTCACCCGGGAGCCGCAGCGGGCCTCGACCCCGTGGCGCTTGGGCGTGCCCAGCAGGTCGTATCCCTCGCGGTCCACGGCCAGCGCGCCCACGCAGCCCAGCAGCGGCGGCGCGGCCGCGCGGCCTCCGGGCGGCGCCCCGCCCACCCAGTACGCGGCCGACGCCAGGTCGGGCACCGCCGCCAACGCCTGCACCGGCGGCGCGGGAGACCCCAGGGTCTCCTCGCCGTTCACGCGCAGGCTGCCTGGGGACAGGGGGACCTCAGTACGCCTCGCTTCGACTGCGCTCCTGCTTCGACCGTTCGCTTTCTGGCTGTCGCGTGCTCTTGATTCTTGACTTGAGGCCCTCGATTCGGTAGAATGGGCGACGATAAGCTCAAACCTAAACTTCATAATAATAATAATAATAGTACACACTCAATATAGCCCCGCACTAGGAAAACCCTGTGTCGCGGGTGCTATGGTGCAGGTGCCACAAATTACACCCAAACTCACGAGAGAAATAAATGTAGGCCATATAAATATTTCTCCCGGCCCGGGAATCGAACCTGGGACCTCTGCGTGGCAGTCCGGCATGGTAACCGTTCGGCCACAGAGGCAGTCAAAAAATTCATAGATCCATATTGCATAGATTTTTTTTGTAACATCAAGTGACGGGACTAAGAAGTCGCACGCCTGTCCACAACAGTTACAGTGCCACTCAGAGCTTTAAATTGCAAAGATCTGAGGTTGCAATACCACTGCGCCAGTCATCCTGAGACATAAGTTGACAAGTCCAATGTGCCTGTAATTTCACTAGCACCCTTACACTTGAAAACCGGAACACAGTAATTTGATATTACTATTTGGCGGCAGAAATAGGTAGAGTGGATGAACACTTTAACAAGGAGCTCTTGTTACTAAAACAGCTACAGAATATACTTTGGTGAGTCGGATGCCCATGAGCTCTATCAGCTCGTTCCGCCCGCCCTCTTTTACCAACGGATATCCAAACGTACGGCGGGATATCCTCTCTAGTCGATCGATACTCCTTTCAGGTGTACTAAACGCTTATCGTAAACTTATATTACGAGCCTACAGCCCGAAATGGAATTCCCTGCCTGCTAGTGTGTTCCTAAGCATATATAACCCGAGTAACTTCAAGAGTCAAGTGCTAGTCCGTTTACCTTAAAAACACTATTCCGCATCCCACAGTGGAGTCTTACAATATGAGTAAAGTGAGAGCGTGCACATTACCTCTCTCGAGCTTGTTCCCCGCGAAGACGCGAATGGCCTGCACGTGCGCGGGCCTGCCGCTGCAGTGGCGCCCCGTCGCGCTGATCTCCAGCCGCGCCTGCGCGTACTCCACCGCGAACACGACGCGGCAGTCGCGGAGCACCACCGACACCGACCGGTTCTGCAATACATCACACGCGTGGACGCCAACATAGAAACGTGTAAACGTGAAGAAAAGCTTTCATAGGTTTCTCATAGATGGCGCTACGGCAAAAAGTCGTTATAAACCAAAAAAGATCTGCAACTAGCATAGAAAAATTTGTAAGGTCCGCTACTTCCTTTCTTGGCTTATTAGGCGTAACGTCTGGCACGATTTGCTGGAAGACGTTGATTCAAATCCAGACGGATCGAAAAGTTTTTTCTGTGTTCGATCTTTCATGGCGGTCAAACGTCGGGTTTCAATAATCTTAAAAATTTAAAACGTGTAAGTCAAGCAAAACAGTTGATAAGCGATATTTACATTGGCAGCATCGATAGCCATAAACAGCAGCGCGTTCTCGTCTCTAGTGCGAAAGGTGAATGCGAGCGTGAAGTGTCTTCTGTCAGAAGGTCTCAAACTAGACCTATGCAGCTCGGCGTAACCTGCACCGTTAAACCAAACCATGCCTGCTTCGCCGCTGCCGCGACCGCCATTATACCATCTGCCGAATAAAAAAATCAAGTTACCGGATTGTGTCGTTGAAGTCCTTTGCGAAACTTATATTATCTGCTAATAAATTAATTGTTTCGAACCTCTGCATGCACCCAGTGCATTGGGCTTCTTTCGGTTGCTGTACAAAGTTCCACAGTCCTATGAGTCGGTCCTCGCTATAAAGTGCGTGTACGCAGCCCGGCAGCCCTAAACTGTCGTTAGATGCCTCCGGATCGCCAACTGCATGAGTAAATAAAACTGCACCAGATTTACAAAAGTGGATGGCTGTGTTAGCTCAAGGAAGCCGAGGATAATTGCGGGCAAATTTCTTATAAGCATGCCACACAAACGGACCTCGCAACTCGGCGCCGGGTGCGCCCAGCCACAACTGCGTTGCGAGCAGGTCCACGGCCGCCGCAGTCGTGCTGTTCTCGGCCGTGATCGTGCTGCCGCCCGCGCGTTCCAGGGACAGGTGAACCGTGTTCCAAACTCTAAAACCAGACAATATATAGTACACACTTGTTTAAGATTATTTTTTTTAATTTATAACAAACTAGTGGAGTAATTTCCCAAAATAATAATTGAATATCATCAGATGGTGAAACATTCTGACATTCAATAAAACTTAATTACAATTAATCTCTAGTCAACGGCTGGTAGCTGAAAAGGACTTCGCTGAGTGAAGAAAAGCTTTCATAGGTTTCACACAGATGGCGCTACAGCAAAAAAGTCGTTAAAATCCAAAACAAAGATCTGCAACAAACATATGGACAAATTTGTGAGATCCACTGGTTCATTCCGTGGCTTAGTTGGCATAGCGTCTAGCACGGTTTGCTAAGAGATGTTGGTTCGAATCCAGCCGGATCGAAGTGAATTTTTTTCGTCATTCGCGCAAATGAACTATCGTGCATTTAAGTTTTCGCGCAACCGTCTTCGCACTATCGTCGTTCGCGTAGTCGGCATTCGCACTCACGTAGTAAACCCCAAAGAAGCACCTAAAGAAACAACACAGTGTCCAAATTCGCAGCTTAAAAAGTAAGTTTGTACAGTTTAACTTGTAGGAAAAAATGTTTTAATATTTATTCAGCTATAATTTCGTTCCCTCATCACGCATAACAAGTAACCGCGAGCCTCAAAATCTTTGAACATTTTTCATAGGACCGTTCGTATTCTGTGATACAACTCATAATATCCTATTTTATTTAGACAATATGTGTAACACATATTCACTTAGCGCGTTACGTTATAAGCTAATTATAATGTGTTGTGTTTTTTCCATTCCACTCGTACCTTTCAACTTCTATTCGATATGACGTGAGGTCTCCTTCGTCGTGTACTGGATGCAGCATCTCTGGATGAACAATAACACCTTCCCCGCCACCCAGATTCCAAATGAGGTGTAGTTTTTGATCGCGTACTAGAAGCTTCATGTATTTTTGAGTTTCCTAAATAAGACAACATTCTGTATTAACTAGTCAAAGTCATTTAGGTGAAAATTTAAGAAATATTGAAATGTAAATATGTAGAACGGATCCCGGTTAGGTAATTACTACTGCCAATATTAATATTCAGGATTGAAGAATAATCCAGTTCCGGATATATGAGATTTAAGATCTTTTCGCACCATAACATGTTGACATCGCCATAGGAACATTGGTGCCTCTTAACTTCAAATAACAAGGAATTTAATCAACAAACAAATACTATCTCATGTTCTAGACCCTCCATGAGGCTAGGTAAGTCATTCTTATAAATTAAAAACAAAAATGGGCGTTGTATTGAACCTTGAGGGACGCCCATGCTAATTGCAGACCCCGTTGGTCTAGTACTGTTAACATCGATCCTCAGTATCCTATCACTCAATAAATTACTTCGAATTACGTCATTTTATTATTAAAGGTTCGATTGTTTGCCGATTAGAAATGGAATAAAAGAAACATTCATTACCCGCGTGTCATCAAGTAAGTAAAGCAGAGTGCCGTCCTTGACATAGTTGTCGAAAGAGACCGCAATGGCCACTTTGGTGACGGCGGGCGACGTCGCCTGCAGTGGGTAGCCGCGTGCGCATCCCACTGCTGCTCCGGCCACAGATGTCAGCGATACTGATATCTAAAGATATGATGATTTTATGATATGCAGTTGCTGAGTTACCGTAGTCCATCACACACTTTGTTAATATGTATAGTCTGTCTTTTATGAAGAAGGAGTAAAATGACATTTGCAGGGTTTACATAAAATTTTAAATAGTGCAGTAGTTGTTGGCCTGCCAGTATCGAAATACATTTTTATATAAGCATTTAATAAGAACGAGCGAATTTGGTTGTCTTTATTGAATTACAATGAAAGAACTTTAAAATATGGCTCCTTGTTGTATTTATAATTAGAAAATAGTTCTTAATGTAACGTATGTATGTGTGAACCTACAACAGTTGACAATTCAAATGAAGCTGTGTCCAGTAGTCGGACGAATAATGGGCCGATGGTGATTCAATTGAAACAAGTCAGGCTATTTATTGCACAAGCGTAATCAACATTCAATGATAGAATATTTATCGACACGGCGACACTTTTGTGCAATAAACTGTCCGTTTACTTCATCTTCAAAAGAGACGGGCTTTAGATATGTTACCGAGTCGGCGGCGTGTCGCGCCCTGGCGACCTGGTCCCTCAGCGCGGCCAGCGCAGGCGCCAGCGCGGCGCGGGCCGCGTCCTGCTCCTGCGCGCGCGCCGCCGCCGCCGCCGCCAGCGCGTCGGCCACCTCGCGCCCGCGCACCGTGTTGCCGCGGATCTGCGACACTGGCCGGAGGAGACCTCGCAGTTCATTACCTCCCTCGCGCGGATTTTAATTATCAAGTGACAGAACGAACGTGATAAGCGACACGCCTACCCATAACAGCGCAGGCGCCCGTCACCTTGAGACGTAAGTTATAAATCCCATGCGCTAGTAATTTCACCAGCACCCTTTAAAACCGGTACGCTTGGTGGCAGAAATAGGAAAGGTAGAAAGTACTTCCCCTGACGATCTCTTTCACAGGGAACTTTAAATAATCATCAGCATTAGCTTCGTATGGAACTGAAAAAATCACTATTACATGCCGTCTTAGCCACATCGTCACGTTACTATAATAGTCCGCTGTTGTATATAGGCCTTGTCAACAAAATATTGCTGTCTTGCATATTTTTCAGCGTTAAGAGGGAGCACGCCAAAAAAGTTTTGAAGTTGGCTCCGCCCAAATTTGTGAAACAAACATATACCTAAAAATTTGTGAAACAAATATATGACACGCGGCAGGAGATGTGGAATTTTGCGCATTAAAAGTACCAAATTCATTTTAGCGGAATAACTCTAAAACTAAAGGGATTAAAAAACATCCGTAGTGACAGTTGTCGATCATGCATAAATATAATTAATTATCTAATTTTTGTCCTAATAACCTGTTTCGAGGATAAATCGAAAAAATGTGAAAATTGGAGGTCATTTCGTGATTTTTATCTATCGAGGAAACTTTATTGTTTTATGTTTCTGATTAATGTGTATGCTTGAATATATCGTGTAGTTACTCATACAATATTTTATTTTTAACTTTAAAGTGGATATACCCCTAATCAAATCGAAGATTAGGAATTTTTCCTCTGCTCCCACTTAAGTAACACGGAACAGTTACACCAAACATATTCACAATCATTCTTTTGACATACTGTTACATTTATATGTATATTCAAATCCGCACATGCACTTACATATTGAATAGGTGCACTATTCACACTTTATTACATTTATTATTTTAACGAACAAAGTCCCTCCTAGTCGTTTATTAGATCTTTCGTTCCAAATAACTTCTATTTCACTGCTACGACGAAAATGTTTTATTCTTCCTGTTCTATTCAATCTGTATTTGTAACACCCATAATTATATCTATAATTACTGCACTCCATTCACAGATAATTTTGTTTGCAAATCTTACCGTGCTCCTGTGCAGCTCCCAGCGCCGTGTCTCCCTGCCTCTGCAACTCGGCCACCTGTCTTCTCAAATTATACCGAACGCGTCGTCTAATCTCGCTCGCTTCGTCGTATATCACTCTCGTTGTGGCGAACACACGATCTGCCTGTTTATATAATAAGAATAATTTTAACCTATTAAAATGAATTAATTCGAATTTTTTTATCATATCTAGCAACGGGTCGAACAAATCTTGTGCCTTGTGTCTACACATAACAGTTGCAGTATCACTTAGAGTTTTAAGTCGCTGTGATGTAACGGACGCAGTTAAAAATAGGAACGCAATAATGGTCGCATTAATACGCGGTAGTACTTCTCTGAACGAACTAAAGAGTTCGTTCATTGTAAACGTACAAAGACCTCTGCTGCTGCTAAAATTTCAGTTCTCTTTCCTACCCAAATTATCTATTTTTAGTAGCAGTAGAGCCCCCTGTGAAAGAGTTCGTCCAGGGAAGTACTGCTTTCCTATTTCTGCCGCCAAGCAGAAATGTCAGCATTATCGCGGTTTTGAAGGGGATGAAATTACAAGCGGGTGCAGTGGCAGTGCTCCTCAGATATTTGTGATTTGAAGCTCTGAGTGGCACTACAACTGGATGGACAGGGGTGTCGCTTACCATCAGGCGCAAGTTTAGTTCATTCCCTCACTTGGTATCATAAAAAAACCTGATTGAAGAAAATTTTAATACATTTCTCACAGATGGCGCTAGGGCAAAAAGGTCGTTATAAAACCAAAACATAAATCTGCAACAAACACATGGAAAAATTCGTGAGGTCTGTTGGTTCGTTCCGTGGCTTAGTTGGCATAGCATCTAGCATAGTTTTCTAGGAAACGTTGGTTCGAATCCAGCCTGATCGAAGTAAATTTTTCTACGTGTGTAATTAATCTTTGTCTAAAACTTTTGAAGAAGAATTGCACGAAGAATTATTCAATTCTTTATTTTATTTTTGTAAGATAAAGTATTGTATAACGTGTAATTGTTGATAATATGAGTTAACTCATAGATTGGTCGGAAAGCTAACCTGTTCATTGGCGGCAGCTAAGGTTCGCGTCACATCCGGGCGCGGTCGTAGGCCGAGATCCCGCTCCTGCCAGCCGAGTCCGCGGAGCATTACGCTCACCAAGTCTGCGCTTTGTCGAAGGTGTTCCAGCTGCGACCGCAGCTCTGCGGAGAAAGCGGTGGAAGCACTTTCGAATGGTGCGCGTGACTCGAGTTTGACAAAATCTATTATATCAAATTAATCTTTTTCGTGCACTTGGTAGTTGTCTTTTGTTAAAAAAAGAAAATACCAGCAGCTGTAGATCAGGAGGTTTACCACAAAATACGAAGCATTCGTGGATACCTTAGTCCGAAACGTCAAATGACTGCTATCGTATCGAATTTTGACGTTAATTTCTTCGTAAAATTGACATTTGTTAGGTAGTACGTATGAGCTTCTTTGCGGACGCAGCCACGTAGTATCGTATTTCGTGGTAGACCTTCAATGTCATGTAGTTATTTGAAACTAAAGTTACGATGGTGGGGCGTAAATAGCCAAAATCTATGCATATATGTATTTCTTGGACGGGAACTGGATCCAAAGGGATTTTTGAAAGTAGAGATCCATTCACCTGGCAATATTGCCAGCGAAGCATTGATGATGACGACAAATTACACAATGCAGGAGACACATATATATGTATGTATGTTTATACATAATATTCCTTTTCTTTTTAGTCAGTGCCCTTTGTAGGCCAGTATCGGGGTTTCCGCTTAAAAAAATATGGGTTTGTGTATGGTGCTATTCAAAGAGTATTTTGGGGAGTACTATGTGAGAGAGTACAAGCTTACGTATTATATTTTGAATTTCGATGTTGTAGAGCTTTTATCTTAAGGGGAACATATATAATATATGTATATAGGTAGTTGTTACTAAATGAGATGCTCGCAAATTATAATCTTATGTTATTGCTTGTTATATAATCATAAAGATCGGTCACGAACGGATGCTTTTCGTATTTTATATTGACAAAAGGTGATTTTTTTTATACGACGACCAAAGAGCAGTGCCTCCACCTACCCGTTCGTGTGAGCTTACAAAACAAAAAAGAAGGTTTATTAAATCTCTCACAAATGTTGCTACGGTGTCGAAAGCCGAAAACCCAATACAAAAATCTATAACAGATACACAGAAGAAATTCGTCGACTAGTAAACTTGACCTGTAGCTTTGTTGGTAATGCTGACATCTTTATTTTATTTATTTATTTATTTATTTATTTGCATTTTACATGTAGTGTTATTATAGTATCTTAGAACTATGTTAGGAACTACATGCGCTACCCTGTAAGGGCGTTGCAAAGTACTTATGATATACATTTTATTAAATACATATATTTGATATACTTTTGCGACAACATTAGCAAATTAATTTATAAGGTAAACTTAGCGTATCAAAAATGTATGTAGTATAAGTAATTAGCATGTAAGCGTTTTGGTTGTTACTGTAAGTTTACATTGTGTCTTTAATAAATAAAGAAGCAAAGATAGCCGGATGCCCTACAAAATCAGCGTGACGAGACGAAGCTGAATGATTGAGGGATTGCGTGACAGCACAGCATGTACACTTATGGCTTATCGGTTGATTATTTATTGTTATTTGTTTCCTGTTCGTGTGTTACTTGTATGTATTATCTAATTATTATGTTTTCCCCTTTTTATTTAGATTTTTTAAATGTTTTAATTACGTTTTGTAATTGTTAAATGTGAGTATGTGCGCTGTGTTGTTTCTTTATGAAATAAGTATTTCTTTCTTTTTTGTCTTTCTTTCAATGGGGACGGAATCCCGTGGGTGCCTGTTCGAAGTCTGTCGGGTCGAAGAATTTCTTCTTTGTGTTCGATCGTTGTATTTAATAATTACAACAAACTAGTGGAGTTATTTTACAAAAAATAAAACAAATCAATAATATTGTATCGAGTTCTTAGGTTTACAGGTCCCATGGTCACGGTTGACTGACCGTGGGACCTGTAAAGGGCCCGAAACGTCGATTTGTTTGAAAAAACAAATATACGCGATTTAAATCCGGAAAAATAGTTTCATTTCCCACAATAATATTGTATACAAAATGCTACTTCTTGTCGTGACCGCTACGTGTGCAGTTTGATGTGCTATACAAAATTGTCAAACATTTAACGAAGCGACCAGGGACAACCGGAGCACTCATAGTAGAGGCACTGGCCTCTACTGTCTG